CTCTCTCTCTCTCTCTCTCTCTCTCTCTCTCTCTCTCTCTCTCTCTCTCTCTCTCTCTCTCTCTCTCTCTCTGTGTGTGTGTGTGACACGTGAGGAAACTTTCCGTAGGATGGTACGTCATGATCCCCATCGGGAGAGATGGTTAACGAGGGGCCAAATATTCGCCGTTTTCGCCGGCGATTTCGGTGCGAATTTCATTAAAATTTTTAAAAACAAACGATATGAGACCATAGTGCAAACATCAAAAAAGGAAACAGGCCAAAAAAAATGAAAAAAAAAACAAAAAAACACTATGAAACCCTAACGCAAAGACACTGTTCGAGTCAAAATGATTGGCCCCCCGTTAACCATCTCTCTGTTCTGTGCAATCATGGTTATTTTGTATGTCATTTTTTTGCTGCTGTTGTCGTTGGGTCGTTGCGGCAATGATTGTTCCGTGCTATGATTGTTAGTACATGTTCTTGTCCACTGCGTGCGCATTATTATTATACAATATACATATTAGTATGATATTACATACATGTATAGTAATAATGCGCACGTAGGAAGCATCCTTTGTGTTCCCGCGTTTTTTTTTTGTTTTTTTTTGGTCCTGCCTTAGGCTTCTGATTGTTTTCTTAGGCTTCTGATTGTTCTCTGTTTCCTCCTCCCCCTCCCTCCCTCATGCTCTAATTTGTGAGCTCTTGCCTTTTTTTTTTCTCTGTTTTTCCGTGTGATCCAGTTCCCGAAGCCATTAGTTTTGGCCTCCCTCGTTCCCATTGTTGGTGGTGTCGGTCTCGCCTCCATTTCAGAAGTTTCTTTCAACTGGTAAGTTGCCGTTTTACCCTCCTTCCTCACCTCCTTCACCATCCCAGACTGTCCTGTGATTGTCAAGTCGAGTCCGTGCTATGTAGAGATACATAGAGTGCTACTAGTGTATGTATACTGAGCAACAACAGGCTCGAGCGGGCTAGTGGCCAACATAACAATTAGAACATCGTGAGACAGCTCGGTTCCTATCAATACCTTTGATAAGTTCAGGTGTCCACCTTTTTCCGTTCACGGGCCATGCTAACTTTCGCTGTATCGTTCCAATTTTAACAGATGTCCCAAAAGACGACTTTGGGTGTCCATCTTGTTTTCCTCGCGACATATTCTTTTCCTTTGCTTCCCCCCTTCTTCCACTGCATAACTCCTTTTCCGAATTTGAAATTTTTGGTTCCTCTACCCCCC